GAGAAACTGCTGGGGTGATTTGACCAATAAAGGCTGGTCCGCTATCAGACTGTATAGGGGTGGGAAGGCCAAACTGAGGAATTACATCTGACAGAAGAGAAGAAATGACCATGGTGGCCTTCTCAGACCCCGTGGGAAAGGCCTCTACCTATCCAGTGAAAGTGTCTTCCCAGACCAAGAGGTATTTTAGTTTCCTGACTCGGGGCATGTGAGTAAAGTCAATTTGCCAGTCCTGGGCAGAGGCAAATCCCCGAGCTTGATGTGTAGGGAAGGGAGGGGGCGTGAACAATCCCTGAGGAGTAGAATAGCAGATGGAGCACTGAGATGCGATTTCCTTGAGGATAGATTTCCACGATGGAAAGGAAATGAGAGGTTCTAAGAGACAGGCTAGCAGCTTGTAACCTACATGGAAGAGGTTATGAAGTGATGACAGAATAGAATGGGCCTGTAGAGCTGGAAGGAGATATTTTCCTTGGTCCAAAAACCATTTACCTTGAGTGGGGATGGATTGATAGGTGGAAACTTCAGTGGGAGAATAAGTAGCAGTGACTGATGAGGAGAAAAACTGGCCATAAGGGACAGAAGTAGGAATGCTAGCTGCTTCTTTAGCTACTTATCAGCATAAGCATTGCCCTGAGCAATGGGATCGGATGCCTTTTGATAGCCCTTGCAGTGAATGACTCCAGCTTCCTTTGGAAGTAAAGCGGCCTTGAGAAGAGTTTTTATTAAAGAGGCATTAATGATGGAGGACCCTTGCGTAGTGAGGAAACCTCTTTCAGCCCATATAACAGCATGGTGGGTGGGATATGGAAGGTATATTTAGAGTCAGTGTAAATATTGACATGTAGTCCCTTTGTAAGAGTGAGGGCCCGGGTTAAGGCAATGAGTTTGGCTTGCTGAGAGGTAGTGGAGTGGGGCAGAGCGGTAGCTTCAGTGATAGATGTGGAAGACACTATAGCATAGCCTGCCTTCGCCAGTGATTGGCGATTGGGCCTGGAAGAACTATCATCAATAAACCAAGTGTGGTCTGGGTGGGGAATAGGAAAGAGGTAAATATGGGGAAATGGGGAGAATGAATGGTTTAGTTAGGATGGCAAAACTAGGTATCTAAAGGTGAAAGTGCCTAACCATGCCTAGGAGGGAAAGGAGTTGTTGTTTTGTAGAAGGGGTTGGGGTTTGGGAGATTAGCCGGACACGATAGGCAGGGAGAGCACATGTGTTTTTATGAAGAATTATGCTGAGATAGGTAAGAGATAAGGAAGAAATCTGGGCTTGACTGAAGTAATGGGGGCTGTCCCTGAAGCCTTGTAGCAGTACAGCCCAGGTAAGTTGCTGAGGCTGATGGGTGTCAGGGTCAGTCCAAGTGAAAGCGAAGAGAGGCTGGGATGAAGGGTGCAAAGGAATAGTAAAGAAAGCAACTTTGAGATCCAGAACAGATTAATGGGTTGTGGAGGGGCAAAATGGGGGAATCGTAAGGAGAGTTTATAGGCTTTATAAGGCCATGCTGTAACAGCTGAGTGAAAACAGGCTTTAATTCTTTTAAAGCATGCTGTGGGATGGGATACTGGCATTGAGTGGGGTAAGGGTGATTAGGTTTTAATGGGATGGTAAGGGGTGCGTGATCACTTGCCAAGGAGGGAGTAGAGGTGTCTCATACTTCTGGATTAAGGTGGGGAGATACAAGGGGAGGATGTGAAGGAGGCTTTGAACTGGGGAAAAGGGTGACAATGAGGTGTGGCTGTTGCCTAGGAATAGTCGGGGAAGCAGATAATTTAGTTAAAATGCCTCGACCTAATAAGGGAACTAGGCAGGCAGGGATAACTATAAAGGAGTGCATAAAAGAATATTGTCCCAGTTGGTACCAGAATTGGGAAGTTTTAAGAGGTTTAGAAGCCCGGCCGTCAATAACCACAATTGTTACGGAGGCAAGGGAAAGAGGCCCTTGAAAAGAAGGTAATGTGGAGTGGGTAGCCTCTGTATTGATTAAGAAGGGGACGGACTTACCCTCCACTGTAAGAGTTACCTAAAACATCTGTGATGGTCCAGGAGGCTTCCAAGGCGATCAGGCAGTGTCAGTCTTCAGCCACTAAGCCAAAAAGATCTGGGAAGGAGTCAGTCAGCGAGCCTTGGGCCAGAGTTCCAGGGACTCTGGGAATGGCTGCCAGGCGAGTTGGACAGTCCAGTTTCCAGTGGGGTCCTGCACAGATGGGGCATTACTTAGGAGGAATCCCAGGCTGCAGGCATTCCTTGGCCCAGTGGCCAGATTTTCAGCATTTGAAGCAAGATCCTGAGGGAGGAGGTCTTGGAGGATCGCCTGGCCACTGCAGTTTAGGAGTTTTGAAGTTCTTGTGTGCTGGAGATGTGGCTGAGGTTTCTTTCACAGTGGAGGCAAGTAACTGCCACTCTTCTCTATTATTGTACACCTTGAAGGCAAGGTTAATTAATCCTGTTGTGGGGTTTGAGGGCTGGAATCTATTTTTTGGAGCTTTTTCTAATGTCGGGAGCGGGTTAGGTAATAAAATGCATATTGAGAATAAGACGGCCTTCTGGACCCTCTGGGTCTAGGGTGGTAAAGCCTTTAAGTGTTGTTGCCAAATGGGCCATGAACTGGGCAGGGGTTTCATATTTGATGAAAAAGAGCCTAACCGTTTTGGGAGAGGTCAGATAAAGAAAAAAGGAGCATTAACCTTGACTATGCCTTTAGCTCCAGCCACCTCTTTTTAAGGAAATTGTTGGGCAGGTGGGGAAGGGCTCATCACGGAATGAAACTGTAAGCCGGACTGGGTGTGAGGAGGAGAGGTGATAGAAGGATTATAGGGTGGGGGAGCAGAGGCTGAGGAAGAATTGGGACCTGGCTCAGCCTGGGGAGGAGGGGAGAAGTCGGATGGGTCCATAGAAAAGGAACATTCAAAGTACTCAGAGCTTGGGGTGGAGACCGAAGGAACAGACAGGAGAGAAAGAAGAAAGATTTGGGATGAGTCGCATTGGGAGCAGAGACTAGGGAGGGACTGATGTGTAAAAGAAGGCCTGGATATCAGGCACCTCAGATCATTTGCCCATTTTACGACAAGAATTATCTAGATCTTGTAGGGTGGAGAAATTGAAAGTGCCATTTTCTGGCAATTTGGAACCTCTGTAAAGTTTGTATTGGGGTCAGGTGGTATTGCAGAAAAAAATAAGGTGTTTACGTTTTAGGTCAGGTGAGAGTTGAAGAGGTTTTAACTTCTTGAGAACACAGGCTAAGGGAGAAGAAGGAGGACTGGAGGGTGGAAGATTGCCCATAGTGAAGGAGGCAAGCCCAGAGAAAAGAGAGAGTAGAGACACGGAGGGTTGGGGAGGCACTTGCCACCCAAGGGAGGTGGTGCTTGCCACCAAGGTGAAGGATCAAGGCAGGTGTCCCTGTGGTGATCAGACACCTCTGAAATATGGGTGAATAATCAGGCAGGCATCCCTGCAGTGATTAAACACCAAGGGAACACTGTCTTCTCGAGTCTGTGACCAGTGCCGGAGTTTTGGGTTCATGGATAAAACGCATCTCCTCTGTCTCTAGCAGAAAAGGAAAGGAACTGAAATTAAGGGAAGGAATAGATTGAAGGGTGGTGCCAAAATTGAAAGGAGAAAGAGGTTGAGGGACAGTGAGAGAGGTTGAAGAAGAGAGTAAAAAGAAGCTACTTACCCAATTTAAAATTGGTGAGATGTTCCTTGGGCTGGTTGGTCTGAGGACCAAGGTCGTAGGCGGATCTTTTTCACGGAGCAATGAGCAGGAGGACAGGGGATTGTCTTATCAGTTAAGGCAGGAACCGGTCATTTTCACTTCTTTTGTGATTCTTCAGTTGCTTCAGCATTTTCACTTCTTTTGTGATTCTTCAGTTGCTTCAGGCCATCTGGATGTATATGTGCAGGCTTGGGCTCACAGGCCTGACATGTGTGTGTTTTGTGTTTTTCTGGATAGGCATTCTTTCCTATGGAAGAGGTAAGCAGGGGGAAGGGAGCTTACATTCATCAGACACCTACTATGTGTAGGAACCTGGTGCGTCCCTGGAAGGGTGGATGACCTCACATGTGAAACCTCTAGTGTGGTTCTTTTTGGAATTAACTACCATTGCTCAAAAGGGCCTGAATAAAATACCAAATTTTAACATGCTGGAATTTTTCTTTTTTTTTCCTCCTTCAAACATTTGTAGCTCTTTATATGTGGTATTTTCCCTGAGTCAGAAGGGAAAGAGGGTGCCCTTCGGGGAGGTTCTCTTCCAGACTCCTAGAAGAGAATCTGATTTAGCTTAAATGCACAAACAAGGCCTTGCCACGTCACTGGCCAACCGCAGCCAAACTACTTCAGTCACAGAAATAATTTGGACACTTCTGCTTTTTAAGGGAAAGATGATTTCCCTGGATTTTTTTTTTCCTTTGAGAACGAGGGATTCCAAAACCCCAGCGAGGTCAAGCACAGTTCGCCAACTTTATTTTTTGGGGCGCAGCGCATTTGCTTCCCGAAGTCAGTTGCGAAACCGTTTTCTAGCGCGCACGGGGCTTTCATCTCTTGCGTGCATGCGAAGGGCTACCCGAGACGCCCCCTTTATGGACTTGGCCATGGCTACTTTTGTTACAAATTAACGTCTGGGACTCGGGCTCCTGCGAATAGGAAACTCCCGTGATTCGCTGCCCAGGTCGCCGCCCTCCCAAGAATGGACTCTGCACCTGCCATCCATGCCCGCTGGTACACCTCGCTCACTCGCACGCTTAACCCGCTGGGACGCCCCCGACCTCCCACCTCCACCCTAGCCACAGTTCGTCCCGCCCTTCCGCGCAGACTCCGTGGAGCCCTGTCCCGCCTCCTGCGCGCTGCGGCGGTCGGGAGATTGTGAAGGGCACCTCCGGCAGCCAATTAACACCCGCACACTGGGCGGGACCACGCTTGGGCAGGCGGAGGGGGTCGACCTAAGGCGGGGACTTTTGAATGACAAGGATGACGGCCAACCGTCGGGGGTCCTTCTACTGCGCCCCGCCCCTGAGCCGGCCGCCCAGCCCCCGGAGCTGTGCCCGGCGCGGGGAATGTCCCGGGTGGAGCTGGCGGAGTCGCGCGCTCTGCTCCACCCGACGCGGCTGTGTGTGTTGGGCCTGGCTCGCGGCGAACCGAGATGGCAGAGCAGTCGGACGAGGCCGTGAAGTACTACACCCTAGAGGAGATTCAGAAGCACAACCACAGCAAGAGCACCTGGCTGATCCTGCACCACAAGGTGTACGATTTGACCAAATTTCTGGAAGAGGTGAGTTGGGGATGAGCAGCTTGGGGCGCAGGGAGCGTGGGCCGGGTTTGGGGGTTCACTGGCATGACCTGTCTTTCGCGGGCCCGAGTCCGCATACGTACGCCTGGGCGCGCCCCCCGCCCCCTGAGTTCGCTCACCTGCGCGTGTACGCCTGGGCGCGCTTCCGAGTCCGCACACCTGCACGTGCACACCTGGGTGCCCCCCACCACCCCGAGTCCGCACACCTGGGAGCGCTCCCCGAGTCCGCACATCTGCTAGTGTACACCTGGGAAGTCTCCTCGAGTCCATACACCTGCGCGTGTACACCTGGGAGCGCTCCCCGAATCCGCACACCTGCGCGTGCACACCTGGGAGCGCCCGGGCACGGTGGCATCATCGCTACGTGGTCCGGGGGCGCACTAGGCAGGAGCTGGTGCACTAGGCAGGAGCTGGCGCTCGGGCCCTGTGGCGGTGCTGGAGCAGCCTTCCGGGGAGAGCGCGCAGCTATGCGGGGGATTTAAATGATCCCTTTCTTCCTTGAGTTTGAATAGAAAGGTGTCCTTCCACGACCGGCGGCATCCCCGGAGTGGCCGGCTGGAGACCACCCACCCCGAGAGCCACGGATCCCGCCGGAGGGGACCCCGAGTGCGGAGGTCGGGTGTGGTCCGTGCCCGCCCTTCCCTTGGCAGCCACTGGCCGACCTTGGGGCCCACATCCACTCGCATTCGCGTTCACCTGGAAGAGGCCTGGTGTTAATTAACCTTTTCCTGGCTTTGGCAGCCAGGTGCCGTGCTTGACTCCTGAGACCGCGATGTGTGGCTGGAGCAAGAACACAGGAAGAGGCCAGGCAGAGCAGCGTGCGTTCTGCTGTCGGACTCGCCCCTAACAGTTTTGGAAGGTGTAATAGGGAACGTTTGTTAACTTAAAGGAAGACATTCCTTTGATAAGATAATTTGCAGTCGATTATAATTTTTGCCGCACACGCTAAGGGGCGTTTTTGGTGGTTGTCTTAGATCCTCTGGAAGTGTTTTACCACTTTTGGGGAGTCTGAATCATGAATCTTAACGCATGCTCACGCCCCTCTCCCAATAATGAGAAGGTTTAGTGATGGGAATTTTTTACATAGTCCGGGAGCAGGGAGACAAAAACAGATGCCTGGTCTGAGCTGGATCACAGTTTACATCAGAGGACTTTGGTTTTGCAGAAAATGTTAAAATCAAAAGGCCTGTTTTAAAAAATGAGGCTGGGCCAAGCACGGTGGCTCACACCTGTAATCCCAGCACTTTGGGAGGCTGAGGCGGGTGGATCACTTGAATCTAGGAGTTCGAGACCAGTTTAACCAACATGGCGAAACGCCATCTCTAACCCCCAAAATACCAAAATTAGCCAGACCTAGCGGCGCACGCCTGTAGTCCCAGCTACTTGGGAGACTGAGACAGGAGAATCCCTTGAACCTGGGAGAGGTTGCAGTTAGCAGAAATCGCACAACTTTACTCCAGCCTGGGGGACAGAGTGAGACCCTGTCTCTAAATAAATAAATAGAATTAAATAAAAAATAAGGCTGGAGTTGATGTTTATTGGTAAGGTATTTCACTCTGGAGCAGTGCCCAAAGATAAAGTCGTGTTACCATTTAGTAAGGAGGGGTTTATGTTAGGGAATCAGAGCTGACTTGCCCTCTCCCTCCTGCCCGGCTGCAGATCCTGACATATAACAAACATCAGTTCTCATTAACTCTAAATGTGGAATTTTAAGACACAGTGTGTGCTTTGTCTGTTTGTGTTTATAAAAAAAGTAACATAAGAGAATATTAGGATATTTTATATTATGAAGCATTTTCTTCGTTTCTTTTGTTATCTTTTTTCCTAAAACGAGTTTTTACAACCCTGGCACTGTTGACATTTTGGACCAGCTGATGTTTGTTGTGGCGTCTGTCCTGGGCATTGTAGGATGTTGAGCCACCTCCCTGAGTTCTACCCACTAGATGACCGGTACCACCATCTCCCGTATTTTTTTTTTGTTTTGAGACGGAGTTTTGCTCCAGGCTGCACTCCAGGCTGGAGTGCAATGGCTTGATGTCGACTCACTGCAACCTCTGTTTCCTGTGTTCAACCAATTCTCCTGCCTCAGCCTCTCAAGTAGCTGGGAGTACAGGCGTGCACCACCACGCCCAGCTATTTTTTGTATTTTTAGTAAAGACGGTTTCACCATGTTGGCCAAGCTGGTCTCGAACTCCTGACCTCAGGTGATCCACCCACCTTGGCCTCCCAAAGTGCTGGGATTACAGACATGAGCCCCCGCTCCCGGCGCTACCTCCCCTATTTACAGCAACGAAAAATGTCTCCAGATATTGCCAGAGGTCCCCTAGGGCACATAATCTCTCCAATTTAAAAATTACTAAGGTTACTGTGCATGACTTTAGGGGTAGATTTTCAGAGAAGATAACAAGGAAGTGAAGATTATTGTTAAAATGTACTCAAAACCATTTACTTGCACATTTCATTCCTGTGAGTCGGGAAAGGAAGGATTGTGCAAAAATTTTCCAAGAAAAACTGAGAGATGAGAGCAAGCTCTTGAGTGCGTAAATTAGCTGAAAACAAATTCCTTTATTTTTTCTTACTCAAAGTTTTTGTGGAGAATGCATCTCAAATAAAATGAACAGGAGGGTGGCTGAGCCCGGGAACGGCTAGGAGGATGGCGTGAGTGAGGAGGCTGGGGTGTGGGAGAAACACGAGGAGTTTGGTTTTCGTCCTGTCAGCTTTAAGGGGTTGGAGAGATCTTCAGGCGTCGGGAGAACTGCAGGCGCTTCTGCCTCCGCTGTCTGCCAGCATGTGGTTCTGGGAAACAGCAAGGCCGCTTAACCTTTCGCTGGATTGTGGCTGCCCTCTCAGCACCTCCCGATTCGACCTTTTATGGACGTATTTTTCCATTTGCCATCTTTATATTATTTGCTTTGACTTTCTGTGACCAACTCTTGCTTATTGCATATCCTGGTCATTGGCTTCCCAGCCTCTGGCAGGGCCTCAGGTTCTACCTGAGATTCTAACCAGGATTCCTTGCAGGTGACTGCCTGTGCTCCTGGGATTACATCTCAAATAAGCGCGCATCTTCTCGCTCAGAGCTCTTCAGCACACTGCCCTGCCAGGTAGTTCTTTTAGGAGGCCAGTCTGTTTGTCTCAAACCTACTTTTAAAACAAATGAGTGCAGAATGTCTCTGTCTTTCTTCCCCGCTTGCCCGGTCCTCCTTCCTGTCTTCTGTTGTTGAAAGGCTCCAGAATTTCTTGCAGCCTTTGTGTGTTAACTAAAAAATATTTTATCTCACCTAATTTACCTAAATAGGAAAGATTTTTCTTCCCCTCCTAACTCTCAAATGAGCTTTCAGTCATTATGGGCTAGACCTTTGTCTACTGTGAGATCCCCCATCCGTATGGACAAGATTTCTCATGACTGAGTATTTCACATTCTTTCAGAATGTCCTAGATTTATGTGCATGTCCGCGTTCATGTTGAGAAGGTGTGTGGTGAGATGGTGGAGGGATCCTGCTCTGCTGGCAGGTACAAGCCAAGAACACAGGTTGAAGCTCAGCTGTGCAGTGTGCGCCCTGACCTCCTGAAATAATGGCCTCTAAAGCTGTTTTTGCTGTTCAGGAAGAGGGGTAGAAACGTAAGAGGGAAGACTGGTTTATTACTAATGGCAGTCTACATAGCAGCAGGTGCTTAGTTACTGTCTGATACTTAAAAGATTTTGAGCTTTATTACCTACATATTTTGAACTAGATTTTTTTTCAATCCTGAGTTATAGTTTTTGAGTTTATATTTGTGAAACTGAGTCTGCTTGATCATAGAACTTCAAGGGATAGTTCTTTGAAATGAAAACTTAGGCATTTAGGGCCGGGGGAGAAATGTTTGCATTTCCCTTTCTGCGAGTTGGGCAGCAGCATCTATTCAGGTTTTAAAAGAGCTGTGGAAGGGAGAGAGAAAGGTATCCTGTAACTAACAACAGTTACATGGAAGGGATAGAGAACAGTATCCTGTAATTAACAACAGTTGCGTTAGATGTTGCTTTTGGTTCAAGTCAGTGGGTGTTTGATTTGTGAAATAGATGTTGTCCTGGAAAACTTTATAAAGCAGAATGTAATGTCTTTTTGTCAAGTTGTCTCCTCTCCCTTTACATCATAAAAATGGAAACTTGTTTCTGTAGAACATTTTCTAGGGATCCTGGGATTCTGGTAGTCTTGGACCTGAGCCTTAAATGTTCTTTACAGCATTCTGCCTCGTAGAAGCTATTGGCTCCTGACTCACTTTGATTTTTGGAGTCTGAAGAGTGTTCTTTCTAGCAGGTGTTGTTGTAGGGACTTGCTGTTTGATATTTTCCATTGAATATGGCTGCCTACGTTGCATAGACCGGTACTTCTAAAGCTTGGGGATCGCGGAAGAGAGTATGGGTGTTGAAATTCGTTGCCCTTAATTCTGAAAAACATAGAACACATATCTTTACCCTTGTTAAAGCTACCATATTTAGGGCTAAAATGCTAAATGCCTTTGCTTTTTGTAAGAAAATTTGATAGTATTCTGAATCTCATGTTACTAAAAGGCTACATTTGGCAAATATGCCTTTGATGCATGTAAAATGGGAACATTGTTATTATTTAGTATATACCGTTAGGTAAATAAAACTTAGAAATTATGGAGTCTGTAGGAGGGAAATATAAAGGTATTGTTGGTAGTGTTGGTGGCTTAGGCATCTTGGGTAAAGTGATAGCAAAACAACATCTTAGAAGGCCACCTGGGGAACGTGAACCCGTAAGTCTTTTATATATTTCTACGTATATCTCTATATTTTTTGGTAACCTGCTGCTACTTTTGAAAAGAGGTTCCAGGAGGCAACTTTGTTTTGAAACAGTAAAAAAAAAACAATAAAGAAACACCAAATTAACTTTTGCTTTTTGATGATCTTAAAGGTAGTTGAAAATTGTAAATAAGGAAGGGAAAACACATGCAAGCCAGCTTTGGTAAATCAAGGA